CCTGCCTCTTCCCATGCCCTTCCACTTCCCTGCCTCTTCCCATGCCCTTCCACTTCCCTGCCTCTTCCCATGCCCTTCCACTACACATCCTCATACAAAAACACGAACGACAAAGGTGTGGAAAAGTACTATGAGGTTGTTAGACCTACAAACCGCACCGAAGAGGTACTCCAACATAACCAGCATGACAGAGACTGTCTGAACATTCAGTGGACTGTGAAGTACACAGCACATAATAAAAAGAGCACAGCATCCTCCAGAAACTTTGAAATCCATGATTTCTTGACATATCTCCTATCTGACCATCTTACACCTTGCAGGCCAGCACAGCGGCACAGTCACCTCAGAGCTCATGGCTCCCTCTCTGCATGGAGTCGTTCCTGGTAACCAGAAGGTGAGCAAGGTCCAACTTCTCCAGGAGTATCGGATGCTAGCTGGCCAGAGCTCTGACCCCAAAAAAATCTGATCTATAAAAAACTACTCAAGCACAAGCATAAATAAAGCACCTCTAGCCTATTCCCCCATGTAGAGGGTCCTTCTAGGCTACAAAGGTGCACAATTATGTTGACTGTCATCTCTAAACTGTCTGCAGTGTATCACTGAGTTTGTGTGTGAATGTGCCCTAAGATGGACTGGTGTCCCATCCAGGGTGTCCCCCTGCCTTGTGCTTCCATGGACTGGTTCCTGGTCCACTGGAGACCCTGATGACTTATTAGAAGATGGCCACCTGTAGCAGCACCCAAGGAGCTGGGGGTTAAGGGCCTTGCTCAAGGACCCGCAGACGGGCTGAGGCTGGGTTTGAACCGGCAACCTTGTGATTACAGGCACACAGGCTGAGCCCACTGATCCACACGCTGCCCCTGTGTCAAAAACCACCACACCTATAAACATTCCTGGTATCTATAGATCACTCATAAACATCCATAATATTCTGAAATGCACTGGCCTGCACAGCAGCCACTTTGGACAACAACCTGACATGCTGTTTATGTAGAGAGGCTGCTCAGGCTAGTGGCGTGGAAAGGGGAAATTATGGGCTGTCAGGGGGAGTGATAAAGGGTGCTGGGTCAGAGGTCAAAGGCTGAAGGTCAGTGTTTCCTGTGCTCATTCCTGGCAGGGGGGTTGGCAAAGTCACTGGGACACTAAAGGTGGGCTTTTCAATCTGCATCCCCTGGAAAATATTCTCTTTATGTATGAGATATGGGTATTAATGGCTGCTGGGCGGGTCTGTTGTTCATGACGTAACTGTGAATTCACTTTTTTTGCAGTCAGTCTAAGCCTGTGACCTCTTGCTTAGGTGAAGATACTGTAAACAAAATTGCATAATTGAGCCACATGACATCTGGCCCTACAGTAAACTGCAGACAGGGTGCTTCTGTTCTGGAGTGAGAGAGAAATAGAGAAAGAGGGGACAGCAAAAGAGAGGAGGGAGAGAACAAGAGGGTGGGAGAAAAGGAGAGGGAGAGGGAAGGGATGAGAGAGGAATGGGAGAAGGGGTGAGAGTGGAAGAGTGAGGGATGAGAAAGGGAGAGAGAAGGGGTGAGAGTGAGAGAGAGGCAGCGAGAAAGGAGGGAAGAGAGGGACAGCTGTGAATTAGTTAAGCTCAGAGCAGTAAATTAGGGCCCTTGGCCTTCTTCAAAAAATAAATATGGGGCCAATGACATACACATATCAATTAGCCAACGAGAAAATGTGTGTTTCTGTGTGTGCGTGTGTGTCTGTGTGTGTGTGTCTGTGCGTGTGTGTGTCTGTGTGTGCGTGTGTGTTTGTGCGTGTGTGTGTCTGTGCGTGTGTGTCTGTGCGTGTGTGTGTCTGTGTGTGCGTGTCTGTGTGTGTGTCTGTGCGTGTGTGTGTCTGTGTGTGCGTGTGTCTGTGTGTGCGTGTGTGTGTGTGCGTGTGCTGTGCCAAGACAGGGAGGGGGCTGCTATGAGTCAGGGTGTGGGCTGTGGCAATATATATTTGTCTGCCTGTGTTAGTGTTTCTCTGTAGGAGAGAGATACAGATTAAGGGAATGAGAATGAGCAGCTCGTGTGCTTATTTTAGTATGACGGCAGTGTGTGTGTGCATTTGTGTGTATGTGTGCGCGCGCGTGTGTGTGCGTGTGTGCACTAATGCTTGTTTGCAAAGGGGTGGGTGCATATCAGAGAGAGTGGTGGTGTGTGTGTCTATGTGTGTGAGTGTGAAAAAGAGCGAGGACGTATGTGTCTGTGCCTCTCCGGCCTGATTTGAATTGATTTACACTTTCCCCGCTGTTCAGGGGCCAGTGGATGCTGCCAGTCCAAGCTTCCAGCCACACACTCCCACAACGTCACACCGCCTCTGTGAAATCGGCATCTCGGCGCCGACACGCTCCCACACCAAAGGGCTGTGGGCGGGACTAAAGCTGCTGCTGACTGACAGCACGCCAGAGTCCCACCCAGTCCAGGTCTTCCAGCCTCCTGACTCCAAACAATATTTCAGACTCAGAGTTCTTCCACGCAGATTATGTAGCCGCACGGCACGAGCCCACGCACTATCGAGGGGTGTCCGCCGCTCATCTGGAGACCGATCTGCCGGCCTCCACTGCGAGAGCCTCGCGTTTCAAGATGTCCACCCTGGACGAGGAACAACGGCGGCCGGGATCACTGCCAGAGGCACCAGATCACAGCCTGCCCACTCGCCTGGCGGGCGGCTGCACGTAGAGGAGGAGCGGAACCTCACGGAACCTCACGGAGAGAGCTATTATGCAAAGCGGGGCCGCGGGTGCGGTGATCCGAGCCCAAAGAAGCAGGCTGCTCACCAGCGGACGCAGAGTCCTCCACCTCTGGGATTCTCTAAACAAGAGCCGGGCCTCTTATGGTCAAGCTTAAGCTAAGGTTGATACACACACAAAGACACGGTAACACAACCAAAATGAAACCACAGGAGCATCTGAATGGCAGCCTTTAATGTGATTGAAGGTGTGAGACAGGCCAGCAGGTCACCTGTGGAAGGCGATAGATAGAGGAGGCGGGGTTAAGGTAGGGGGCGGAGCTTGGGTTAAGGAGGGGGAGGGGCTTACTGGGCAGTCAGTGCAGCGGAAGCAAATCAGAGTGCTGGACTCATACAGGATCACAGGCATACGGACAGGCAGACGGACAGGCAAGGCAGACCCACGGGCAGCCAGGCGGGGGCGCTACACATACTGACCTTCAGGTCCCTGTGAACTATGTCATGTTGGTGAATGTGATTGACACTGTCTAGAATCTGATGGATACAGTGACTGTGAAAACAAAATGGAAGAAAAGGAGGGAGGCGAGGAAAGAAAAGGCAGGATGAGGAGGAATGACCGAGGCGGGGGTTAGGGTGGTGAAAGAGGTGCAATGCGGGAAAGGGGGGGGGAGGGGGGGATGGCAAAAACCATGGATTGAAATGGAGAAAAATGGGGGGAGGTGGGGGGAGGGGGTACAGTGAGGAGACAAAACCATTTAAACAGGATGACAAACGGCGACCAAGTAGAGAGAGCAGAGCCAGACACACTTAGAACATGGGGGGGGGTGCTTGGGAGGGAATAGAGGGAGAGCCGGGGGGGGGGACGAAAGGAGGGACAGAAGAACGTGAGAGAGAGGGAGAGAGAGATACTGAGGTAAAGAGACGATGCTGGGCGTGTAATACGTGAACACGCGTGTGTGTGTGTGTCTGCATGCATGTGTGTGTGCGCGGACACGTACTTCACGCCTGGAAAGAGTTAAATGTTCTGGAAGTGTGAGTAATCTGCTGTAGCAGGGAGGCTGCTCTGTCCCTACTGCCCACACACTGTCTACCGGGTGGGCAGAGAAGGGGGGGGGGGGGGAGAAACACCGCGATTCGGGAAAACACTCTCTGATTAGCACAGTGCCGCGGTGACACGGCGGTGGAGACCGCAGGGGCCACACCAGGAAGAGCGCCCCCTACAGGCCCTGGTCTGTTACTCGCACGCACATCAGCAAATAGGTTAGCGACTGAAGAGCCGGGATTACTGAGGTAGCTGCTCAAGATGAAAAAAACCTCTGGTGGTTAAATCTCATAATAACGGAACAGATACATGGCTCTAAACTGCAACAAGAGGGTCATTTCGTGTCTTCCAAAGAGTATGGGTTCAAATCCCAAGGCTGGCTACAGTCTGATCTTATGCCCTTTCTACGGTTCCCCAGCATATGCTGGCCAGCCTGTGACTCGAGCCAGTCGCCTTGAGCGTGGTAGCCGACCGGTTGCCATGGCGCCCATGCACCTTAACCCCCATGGGGGTATACAGAATTCACAGTGCCCCCCTTAAACCTGCACCCCTCTCTCTCACACACACACACACGCTCGCCCCCGCAGTGTGACCCCCCCCCTTTCCGTGGTCACGCAGTTACCCGAGTCAGAGTGAGCACGGCATGCTGCTAATTATCTCCTCTAATTGAGGCCTACTTTCAGGGGGGGCTCCCAGGGACTGCAGCAGCACGCGGGGCCAAGCCGGGGGGGGGCTTAGCGACTCACACACACAGACACACACACACACACACACACACACACACAGAGGAGTATACAGGCCTCGCAGGTGCAGACGGACCCTCGCACACAGCTATATCACAGTAAATGCGATAACTATAAAATCTAAAAGCTGCATCACCTGAAATCCAATTTAACAGAACAAGCTCCGTTCTAAGGTACAGCAGCAGCTCCCTGGATTTGCACAAGACGAGGTTCTCCCAAACCGCAGCCTGGCAGACTGCCGGCATTCGGTCGCCGAGTGTCGGCAGCAGCCGAGAGGAGGGGGGCCTTGCGACGGGACCCGGACCAGGGCCGTGGTGCACGCCAAGTGAGTGTGGGAGTGGGGAGCGGGGTCCTAATGTGTTGGGGGGAGGGGGATTTGAGTAAAAAGGACAGTTTCTGCTGCAGGCAAGAAATGGGAAAATAGGAGTCAGGTCAAGGAGAGACAGCGGTGTGGCGGAGCGGCTGCCGCAGTCGCTGCGAGCGCGTCTGTGCTCATTAGTGACGCATGACAGGAACGAGCCACCCTGTGGTGCGTACAAGCCTGTGGTCAGCGTGAGGAACACCCCCAGAGAGCAGCCAATCAGGCGTTTCGGTGGGACACTCTACATGCCCTGGGGGTGTTTGGCAAGACCGGGGAGTCCACTTAAAAAAACACATACACATTTATGTATGTGTGTGTGTGTGTGTGTGTGTAAATATCTCACCAGGGGAACTGGACCGTGAAGAAGAGTGTACAAGAACATTGTCTATGAAAAGGAAAGAACAGAGACAGAGAGAGATGGGGGGAGAGAGGGAGGGAGGGAGAGTCGCGTGGGCAGACAGAGAGGGAGAAACGTGGGGAGGGTTGAGCGAAGGAGAGGCAGGGGAGGTGGGGGAAGCGGGTCCCTTACCTGGCGTCCGCCTCGCTGTAATACTCTCTGGCCACAATGTCCTCAAACAGCTCCCCCCCAGTCACCCTGTGACAGGGGGACAGGGGGTCAATGCCCACACAAGCGTCACTACTCTGCCACACGGCCCCGTGTGATCAGGGCCGCATCCGTGTGTGTGTCTCAGCACACGTATGTGCTTGTGAACGTGGGCACCGCTGGCGTCTTCAGGTGCATGTGTGAGGGGAGGGGGGTGGGAGATGGATGGGGAATCCTCTCAAACAGAGATCCTGGGCCTTGGGGGGGTGGGGGGGGGGGAAGCCCATTCCGCAGGATACACTGGCGCTGGGCAGCCCGGGTCCGTTGCCTTGGAAACAGGCTCCTTGCCACCAGGCAATGCGGAGGGAAGGAAGAGGAGCGCAGAGCGAGGGCACAGGAGCAGGGGGCTCCGCCGCGGCCAAAACGAGGGCGATGAAACGGTAGAGGATTGGATTACAGCCTCTGTGGGGGCGGAGCTAAAGGGACGGTACTGGAGGGGGGGGTTGGGTGCGTGGTTGTGTTGGTGGCGCCCGGAGACACTTACAAGTCAAAGAGGAGGTAATGGAAGCCTTCTTCTGATATACTGTCATGAAGTCGAACTGCAAGAGAGGACAGGATGGTGATAAACAGCATGGAGACGGAACCAAGGAGCCACGAGCAGCGAGAAGAACACCCCCTCACCGTCACGCAAGCGGACAGGGAGAGCACACTCCCTGCAGGGCGGCGACAGCTCTGTAAAACCCAGAGGCATGTAAACACCGCAAATTCCCTGTTATATAACAGATTGGAGCAGGCAGTTCACGGGGCACCTCCCCTCGGGTCCGTGCCCGACGGGGGCAACAGGCATCAGCTATCAGGCGAAAGACAGATGCAATGAACTGACGTGACCCATATTTTAAACCTTGACAGCAGTGCGGGAGATTCAATTTCCTCCTCTGCTGACGTGAAAATGCACATATTTAAAGAGCAGGGTGTGTGGGCAGTGGCGGCAAGCGCCGTGCGTAACCATGGCGACCGGCCTGCATCCACAGACCTACCGATGTTGGGATGTTTGAGCAGACGGCAGATCCGAGCTTCCCTCTCCAGCTTCTGGTGATCTAAGGAGACAGAGTGGCAGAATGAGAGACGCACACGGATCTGACGGGGCGAGATGGGGTTTCCTTCTCAGTCTATGTGCAGGCTAATGTACGCTGGCAATCTGGGAGAACAGCCATTACCCACAATGCCCCACAGGCCAGACCTGCGCGGCCTCTGTTCAGGTTACTGGGCGGCAAATACGAAACGACAAAATGATATTTGGGCTCGACAGTAAACATGACAAACCACAACCTGCTCATATGATTTCAAAAGAAGCCCAGGAACGGACAGCGAGGGCAGAATGGATTTTTTTGTACTAAAAAAAAGTAATTGAATCGCCCCTCAAAAAACAAAAAACACCCAAATATAGTGACATTTACACTGAAAGGTACGGTGTGCATAACATATTCTGGATTCTTAACAAATGAATCCCCAGTGCTGTGTAAATATCATCCTGTTCTCTCCTGGCTTCACCCAATCACCTCGTAACCAAAGCCTTGACTGACTGAATCAGGAGTATTTCTGCACGGTGCCAAACTTATGATGGGCTGGAGGGCACCAAACCTTATACTCCTCGAACCCATTTCCCCACAGCTACACACGTGCTGCCCCAGCTGATAAGGCAGGCTTGGTTCACCAGAAGCTGGCTCCAGACCCTAATGTACTGTTACAGCATGGAATGTACCAGGAATCATCAAACCCGAATACCCACCGGTCAGAACCGCTGTGCAATGCAAGTCTGTTACCTTAGTTCATAAATAATTAATGACTCAATCATGGGATGAATATCTTGCCCCCTTCTGGTGGCAGTGTGAGCCCTTTCCTTCATGCCCAAGGGAACGTTAAAGCCAAAGATAATGGCTGAGTGAGGGAACATCAGGGAGCATAGAGCCATTATCAAGAGCAGATGATCCATTCTGTTTGAAGGCTGTAACGTCGCCTGTCCCATGCAGACCGCAGAGGGATTTCACAGCATCGCTTGGTGATAGCTGCTGCTACATCTGGCCTGCTATGTAGGGTGCTGTGTGGCTCCATAGGTTAGGGCTCTATGCCTGTATCCAGGTGGTTGTGGGTTCGAATCCCACGGACAGCAGAATAATCACATCACCATCTGGCCCCACCATCTCTGTAAGCTTGAACACCCCCATGGCAAAGCTCCATTCATCTTGACACGGTTCCTACAAAAGTAAACTGGTCAGTAACATAACCATAAAGTCAGCTGACAGTTTGAGGGGTCTGTATCACTGCCAGCCATTCGTTCCCTTGGCCGTCTGAAGTGACGTCAGCCCTAGTCAATAAATCCCTTAAGATTCAATTCTACCAGATGAACCCCTGACATTGGGGGGGGGGGTTCACTTAGTGTCTTTGTTCTATAATCAGGCTCTGATGTTTCCTCAGTAAAGTAATACTTGACTTTCTTTGGGAAGCTGGAGTTTTCCTCCCCGTGAATCATTAATCTCACATTACTTTAGTTCATACCCATCTTCTCTTGGGCCATCCAACACTCCCCCCCCCCCCCCGTGGAAGGCTGCCAGGTGGTACCAGCCGGCTCTCGGGTTGCGTTGCTATGGCGATCCAACAAAGCGTTATGAGCTGGTCATGGCAGGTCTCACTCCTCATGGCTGACACTGATTCGCGGTGAAGCCTCCCCCCCTGCTGGGACTCCATGGTACGTGCCGATTAGCCTCCCCCCCCCGCTGGGGCTCTATAGTGCGTGCAGATTCACGGCACAGCTGGGCTGAGCTGCAAGCTCGTCGGGTGAGTGGGGGAGGGTTAGCAGACTGTTCAGCGGGTGAAAGTGTATAAAGCGACAGCGCAGGGCTCAGACGAAAGGAAGCTGGATGGTCGAAGGCTGCGGGGTACGGGGGTTGGGGGGTAAGAATGGAGAAACCGTGCGTGAGAAAGATGGAGCAGGATCCAGGAAAAGGGAGGAGGGGGAAACTGTCGGTGTGTCTATGGAGGCAAAACAGGGACACTGAGCGGAGCCAGTCCAGTGAGCTGGAACTGCAGCAGTGTGGATCTGGTCCTGGTTCTGGTTCAGGGCACAGTGTGTTTGTCTAGTCATTGAGCCCTGCGACCGAGTACAAGATACATCCAAGTTAGAAACCAGGAGGCCAGAACCTCGTCACATGCCGCTCGTTCCAACAGCCGATTAACCTCCACAAAATCAGAAGATTTACCCACAATTCCACTCCCTGGCAGCAGTTGGCTTTAGGATGTGAGACACAGCTCTGAAGTCCGTGTGGTCGCACAGCACCCGGGGGGAGCGCTCTGCTGATATGGTGTGATCCCCCCGCCCCCGCGTGAAGGCCCTCCCGGAAGCGAGAGCTCCGGTGGCAGCTGGGACGTCTTTGGCGAGGAAACGCCAGCTAACAGCCACCAGTGCTAACAGCCACCAGTGCTAACAGCCACCAGTGTCACAGTGGTTAGAAGCAGTGGACCCAGCTGAAGACGTCTCGTTCTTTCAGCCCCTTTTGTAACAGCACAGGGGGGATATATAAGCGGGGGCTGTTGTTGACACTGGTGGCTCAAACGGGGCTGAGCGTGCCGTCCTCATGTCAGCCTGCCCCCCCCCCTCCGGCCAGACGGCTGTTCCCGTCAGCCGGAAAAGAATCCATGAAAACCTGAAGCCAACGTGACACATAAATAAATCGCTCTGGAGAGCAAGTTCTGTCGCACTTTTTCCCTTTAAGGTTCACCACACGACTGCCTTGACGGCTTGTAAGCAGTAAAACATCACAAGGTTGTGGCTTGAGGATGCCGCCTCTATCATTCAAGAAAACACGCAATGATAATGGAAACTGTCAGAAAGGACTGATTACAGGGTCGCTGTCAACATTCAGTCATTACAGGAGTGGCACTACCGAGTGGGTGACACTGCACTTTGGGCAAATCCAGGGCATCCCTCTACTGCACTGCAGCTACCGCTGAGCCAACAAACTGACCAATCACCATCCGTGCTTAAACTCTGCACTGCCCTATTGGGCCACGAGACTGCCCATCATGAATGCTTGCCCACCCCCACTATAGTACCACCCCTTTCAATACAACTGCTCCCTAATTGGTTCTCCTCCTTGCCAGTGTTCACACCCCAACCTGCCCCCTCACATTTGCTCCAGTTTCCATTTACCACTATTCCATTAACCACTTCACTGCCAAGCCGAAAACGTTGACTTAGTTTCTGTTACTCAGGGGAACGTTAAGAGGTTTTCTTCTAGGTGAATTTCACTTCAGCATCCTACAATGCTACCTCAGGTGATACTGCCAACGAGGCAGACTCTACAAAAACAGCCAAGATCAGTGTTACCAGCTGATTCACCCCTTTACTTTCCTCAATTTTCTTACACTTGAATGTTAAACAACTAAAAACATGCTTCACAAAATATCCATCCCCATAATTCTGGTCCAGCTTAATGTGTTACCTACGGGGACTAGAGGGAGCCCCGGCATGGCCTGCTGTGGGGAGATGGGCCCCCGTGCCGAGGACGGGGCGTCACGTGGCGGCCCCCACCAAAGCGACAGCACACCAGGACCATCCATCGTGAGTGTAACGAGCCCCTGGCCGTCGATGTGCCCCACGAGCCAGAGAGCAGCGTGTCACCAGTCTTTCGCTGGCTGCCCGTGGGAGGGGGGACTGGGGGGGTGACTCCCAGAGGGTGGAGTCTCTGTGTCTCCGGGTCAGATGAGTGTCCCGTGCTCCAGGCATGTTGTGTCACGGGCGCTGGGAGTGCAGCCTGCCAAGTGTTTGGGCTGCCTACTCACAGAAGACGGTCAGCTCGAGGACCTGCACATGTTCCCGCCCCCCCCACCCCCCCAGACTCGCACACAGATATAATATATACACAGATAACAGGCACACATATGGCCAAATATAGAAAAACACATGGGATCACTAATATACGTGTACCCAAAGCGGGTTTACGACCGTATCTTGAAGGGAACTCATAAATTCCCTGGGGAGGGGGTTAAAACTTCCCTTGTAAACTGTCCTGCCAATTTAAAGGGGTGCTTGGAATTAAACGGTCAACGACTCTAGGGGATGAAATATGTTACACCCCGGAATATCCAGCGGTCGCATGCACAAACCGGTCGGCTCCATCCGGAGGCACGGGTTTCCTCTTAAGCCCCCCCCCCCGGTGCGCACGCTGCTATTACAGCCACATAAAGCTGGGACACATTAACAGTCCCCTGGGCCCCCACATGTCCCGTCTGCCACAGCCATAGCCGACGTGTGACTTAATCTCTGCCTGCCGGCGTCGACGGAGGAGGCAGAGTGCCGTCACCGGCCAGGGGGACGGACGAACGAAGTCATCGATTTCCTTTAAGTCACATTTTAGGCACCTCGGAATAACATGGAGTGCTGCATTAAATTCCGCATTGATTCTAAGTATTGATTCTTGCTCTGCCGATGAAGCGTTTTGATTTGGTTTGTGGCCATGATACTACCCCCCCCAACACACACACACACACCACCCCATAAACAGAATGTACAATCCACAAAACTTGAATAGTATATAAAAGGACCCTGAATGTTCTGAGCCTATAGAGAGGGGTGTGTAAATACATTAAATTTACCCAGCAGGTGTGCAGCAGTTAAGGATGTAGATTTAAGGTGCTTTCCACTGTACCTGTGAGCGAGCTACTTAACCCCATTCACTTTAAAATATTTACCCAGAGCCACACGGAGCCTGAATCTGTAGCTCGAGCTAAAATATGTTTTTTCGGATTTCTCCATCTACAAATCGGCAAAATCCAGCCCCCTGGCTTTGTCTTATGAAACAGGGGCCACAAATCGCCTTACGGAAACAGCACGGCGTGCGTCACCGGGCAAACAATGCACTTCACTTCGATTATCCGCTCATAGATCATTAACCGGCAAACCGCCGCACTGGGCCCTCGTGGTTTCCAGCGGCCCGCTCCGCTTCCCACGCAGCGCTGCGGTTACTGACCACCGGCGCATTTAGAAATACCCCAGCGTCTGATCTCTGATTTTTAAAAGCCATTAGCCGCAAAGTGGCTCTCTTTCTAGCATGTGTGGAACTTCAAAGGTACCATGTTTACCCCTCTGTAGCACAGACTGCGAATTCGGCCACTTCAAGGGAGGCTACGTGTATTAGCCTCCATCGTGCCGAAAAAGCCGTCCCGGTCCGACCCTGAGGCCTACTGGCTCTTAGCTTAATCTCAACTGACAAAAAAGCTGGAAAGGCATGAGATCTAATGGGGAAGAAGCAGAAATGTAGAACAGTTCACTTTTTAAAACAGCCAATTAAGGCCTTACTCAAATGGTCATACTTTGACAGGACCATGAAAGCTACACAAAGCTACAGGCATACCTTTGGGTAAGATAGAGAGCAGTTACATGACTGACAGCATATGCTGACAGCATCACAAATGTGAATTCAGGGAGCTCCTTCTCCCCAATAGCTATAGCTCATTTCAGTCTCCAAGCAGAGGGGTGACATCGCAGGCCTGAAGGGGCCGAAACTGCACATTGGCATCTCGTAGAGAGACGTGTATGAAAGATGTGTAAAGGAATAAAATCCACATTTGTGTTTGTACATCTCTACTGTAGAAATGTACAGGAATTAGTGCATTGTGGGAAATGTCAAGTTAAGAGCATATGCCAAGTAGTCTAAGAGACGCTGAGTCAGAGAGACGCTGTTGCTTATCTGAGAGAACCACGCGAGTGCTCTATACACAATATTTCATAGTGCCGTGGTGACCTCTGACCCAAAAGACACCGTGGCAGGCACACCATGTCAAATCATGGTTACAGCTCTTGCCATGACACTGTTTATATTTTCACGAGGGCATACCTCGCTCCGTACAGTGCGATTGATTACAGCAATTTAAACTGTCACTGAATAAATTCTAAAGTCAAAGAGATATTAAGAGAACTGTCAAAGAGCTGATAATAATTTCACGCGTCACGGGTTCGAAGCGCATCATCCACGTGCTGCATTCATGCTTCACTCACCTCTCGCAGAGAGCTTTTTGGTGTTGATTATTTTTGCAGCATATTCTTGGCCTGTGCACAGCTTGACACAGCGGCGCACCACTGAAAACGCTCCCCTGAGGAAAGAAGACCAACAGGGAGCAAAATTAGACTGTGCCATCGCCCCAGCCTTGGCATCGCAAACACGGGATGATTCCCTTCCTGTAATAACAAATGAGAAAACCTACTACAGAAATTAGGTGACTTATCATACTTAATGAAAACACGTTCTAGAAAATTAGCTCTGTGAGGGAAAACAGGAAGTGACAATAAACAGACAGCTGGACCTCTGCCCTCATTTTCATTCACCTCGCGGACAGCTCATCCTGACAGACACAGCAAATGACGGCTTCCCACTTCAAGAAACACAGAACAGGCCAAAAATGACAGACGTCATACAAACCCGCACTCATTCTGAAGAAATATAACAGAGCAAGAAGACGAGATACATTAACAGAAAAATAAAACTACGTAACAAAAGATCATCAATTTGGATAAATTAAATATTTTTATTTGATTTATTGAATTTCCCATTTTAAAATCCTGAGTTTATATACTAAAAAAGATTATAGATGTGTAAAAGGTTCTTAAAAACTACAGAAAAGACTTTTAAAAAGACTCCTGATTTAAACAATGGCATACGTGTGCTTCTTGTCCACTCAGTGCAATCTAGAAAATTCACACCTCTTCTTCACATTCCTCTTCTACTATGCTCACAGACATTAAATGAATGCTTTTAACAATAAGGACACATCCAAGACCCTGACCAAGACGAGTGGATAAATGATGATTGGATAGATACTTGGATGGATGGATGGATGGATGGATTGATATACACTCCCATTAAATGCTCACCCAGAAGAACAAGGTAAACAAACTCTCTGATGTGGCACCTAGTGAGGTATAAAACTGACAACTCTACAAGGCCACTTTGCTGCCAGTAATGTGAACCAATGACTAAGCGACTTCGCCTGGTGACCAGCATTGCCGGGCGCTTAAGGGGGTGATTCCACAGCCATATCACCAATCAGAGAAACCTCCGGCATACACAACATGTAGAAAACAAGCTGAGGTCACAAAATGACCTGCCTTGCAACCACAGCCCCCGTCTCACACGTGGGTCATGCCACATTTCAAGTGCCTTTCAACAGACCAAGGAATTTTCTAAGGATGTTTTCACCACAATAATATACCCAGGAGAGAACAATAATAAAATGTGATGTCATTCCCTCTGCCTGCTAAGTATAGCTTACCTTGTTGTTGTAACACAATATATGGATTTGTCTGCTTAACAGGGTCCCCAGAGATACACTTTGCTAAATCAGCTAATTCTGTAATGTGTAAGATGAGACCGAGCACCAGGGACAGAGAGAGAGGGGGGGTCCTAAAGGGAGGGGGGGTGGCTGGGCCTGTCCAGCACATAAAGCCTGATCTTTGTACCAACAATGTACCCATTTCCTCACTCCAGACAAACACCCCACTATAATCAACCACACAATGATCAAAAAATAAACAAAGCAAAGAAACAAACAAACAATCTCACCCCCACTTCTGCCTGACCTTAATGCGCCACTACTGAGCTGCACTTTTTGATCGTCAGACGAAGTACAAAACCGCCCTGGAATAAAGGCTCATTCGCAAAAACAACAAAGCCACACAGCTTTCACACCTGAGTCAGGTAGTGATCACACACCCAATTCTCCAACATTAGAGGCATCTGAAGAATAAGAGACGCATCTCTAAGGAAATCGGGCTCCCGAATCACTTGAAGTTGAAATTCAACTTTTTAGGGTTGTTATATTTTCTTTTCATGATCTTTGCAACTTTTTGTGTTTCAGCGCAACATGGCAACGTATCGAAATCACCATGACAACATTTTTCATGCGAACTCGATGCCAGCTGCCTAAACACCCACTAAACCTCATCCCATCACTCTCAACTAGTTTCAGCACGGTGCCGTTCAGGAACATTCTAGAACCTTCTATGGGAAACTAACAAAAATCAGTACTAATTTGCTCCTACAGTAGAGTTCAGAGCGGAGGACCATCCACCTGCTGCAGTGCTGCAGTCCCCTAACTCTCATGCCATCTCTGTATGCAAGGACAGTGGATACATTATATTCCTCCCATACCTGCTGCAGTAGCTATGTGGACTGTTTTTGCCATACCACCAGCTGCGGTTTACGTGGCCAAATGCTACCGCAACCATCTACTGCATTTCATTTGTAGATATCAAAAGTGGAGATTTCAGGTCCAGAGAGTACAAATCCAGACCAGGATTTTGTTTCAACCAACCAGTTGAGTATAAAGAGTCACAATCACAGAATACTCAACTGGTTGGTTGAAACAAAATCCTGGTCTGGATTTGTACTCTCTGGACCTGAAATCTCCACCTCTGGTAGATATATACAGCTCTACCTACCTGCTGAAGCCCATAAGTGGATATAAACAAGCTGCACCCCTCTGCTCAAGTCCATATGCAGACATAAAGAGCCCCGCCCACCTGCTGAAGTCCATATGTGGACATGAAGAGCCCCGCCCTCCTGCTGAAGTCCATATGTGGACATGAAGAGCCCCGCCCACCTGTT